TCGAATCAAGTTTTGATAAAGTTTTTTTTAACCCTTTTAGCTTTGGAAATATGATAATGGATATATTGTGAATAAAGCTTCTGGAAAAGTATTTGATATACAAGGAGGTTATATTCGAACATTTCATAGAACGTATCTATGCCAATGGGATCGTAAACCATTAGCTGAAGCATCGAATCAACATTGGACTTTCTTACCAGGCGGTTCTATAACTCCGACGTTTCATGAAGGTTTCGTGTTGCATTTACGCGGTCGTTTTTGTAGATCGAATCATGAAAGTGCTCAAGTTTTAATTCATCAAATAAAAGATGACAACCATCATAAGCAAACTTGGTTTTTTGAACCCGAACAAAGTCAACCAAAGATTCTTTCGCCTCCTATTCCTAAAGAATGCCCTGATTATTTTGCTTGATAATTAACTCAATCATAATTAGAAATAACTCATATATAATCAATCTGGTATTGACCCTCTTTGTATATATAACAATTATTTAAATATTCATGCATATCATTTATAAAATATAAATTAAATTCATTCAAATAAATTGACATAATGAAGATTTAAAACTTAAAATATCCCAATATTTATTTTTTTATACGAAATTAATTTTTACTAATCAAATTAACTTTTTAAAGTGATATAAAATGACATGTAATGCAACAATATAATTGGATTTTTTGAAGGATAAAAAAAAAAAATTTTTTTTTTTTCAAATTTAATGAGCACGACGAGATTCAGCGATAATGTTGCTGAGTTCCTCAACTTTTCTTTTGGCTCTAACAAAGGTACCAAGCTAATTCGCGTAATAGAAAAAAAAAATTACATTACATTTAAAAAAAAAAAGAGACAAACATTTGAAATTTTAAGTTGATTTCCTTACTCTCTTCTTTGCCAATTTTCTTGCACGCTTATCCTTGGAATTTTTCAACAATTCCATTACACGTTTCTCATAAGGAGCATATCCTGCAACTTCGCGAATTATATCACGAACAAATTTGACTCGATGAGAAAGAGACTATATACAAAAATCGATAAAGATCCAAGGTAAATTAAATGATTTATATT